TTGCAATTGATTTTCCATTTGCAGCCTGTAGGTTGAAGTTAGGATCCTTCTGTCGATCTGCTGCTGTAGCAGGAAGGATGCTGACTTCGGCGCCTGTGTCGACTAGATATCTAGTCTGGCTCATTACATCATGGATGTAAAGTAAGCGGCTAGTGCCACCGACGACGGTTGCCACTAACGCGTGCCGGTGGGATAGTTTCCCACCGACTTGGAGGCTTTGCCGAAATCACAAGGTTTTCGACAACATTTTGCTTCCTGGCCATAGGTGTTGTGATACCAACACCAGCAAGGATTTTTGAGAGAACGTGGGTTGGACTTAGAACGATCACGTGCGTTTTGCCGTTGAGGGGATTTAGAACGACGGTAGGAGGAGTTGCTACGCTTGTTTGACCTAAGCATCTGCTGGAGGGAGTTGCATAACTCTATCATTGCAGAATCCTTACTCGAAGTCTGTTCGGTAACTGAGTATACTTCGGTAACTGGCCTTTTAGTTATCTCTAGAATTCTATCTGCAGAGACAGCTAAGTCATCCATGAGAACACCCTGAAGTGTCACAAGTACAGTCTGAACTGACTGTGGCAGTTTGGATAAAAATAGTTCTCTGAAAAGTCCTTCGTCAAACTGACTTTGGCCAATAATCTCTTTCATTCTTGCCAGCATGCTCACGGCTGACTGATCCCCTAACTCGATGTTACGAGATAATTCATCCAGACGCTGTCTATCCGTGAGAACGTTTCTCTTGAGGAGGGATGCTTTGAGCAACTCGTACGAGTTACTTACCTCTGGACCCGACATCTGCAGAGTAACGCACCTGTTGAATTCCCGTGGCTGGGCGTGAATAACTGCAATGAACTGTGAACGTTGATCGGTTATGCCATGCTCACAAAAATTAGACTCGGATATCTGAAACCACGTTTCAGCATTATCTGGCCAATATGGTACGAGCTGAATTGTTTTGGCGGTTGAGCGAATACGAAAAACCTTGGGGCTAGGATCAGTCATGACGAAATATATGCCGACTACAAACGAGTACAAGAACAAACACAAAAAGGAACGAACTCACCGGGTTTATCTGCGTGTGAATTGAAGATGAAGTTCGTGGTTGGGCTCACCAGTTTAGAGGTTGCAGGTATCGACGTTCGCGAGTTGTACGGATTATACTGACGCAAGATCTTATACCAACAACTTCTATAGTGTTCGCTCTTCGAGTACCAAAGATAAAGCAAAAGACCAGATTTTGTCGTCCAAAGCACGTTGTATATTTCGGGACCAAATCGCGGGTAGAAGTGAATGCTTAGCTAGCTAGTAATCGTGCACGCACGTGACACGACAGAGTACCAAATGGCGGGGATGCTTGACTGGAAGCCTTCAGCTAAACAAGTCGACTTAAACAGTGAGGGTCAGCATCCAATGTTGAGTGATGATTGCTGTGGTCAATAATTTTGGGGAATTATTTACCGCTACAAGAGTTTAAAACTGCTCCATCGTACTACATGATTGTATGCAACTGCATCTAGTGCTATGGCTGAGCTATTTTGTAGATTTCTTATTCTATTAGAATTAGCTAATGTAGATTCTGCTAGGCATTTATACTCCCTAAGAAAATCTGTGATAGGAAGCAAGACAAAAATCAAAAACTCCAGCACTGAATATGTGGCATGTGCTACTGACAAGATTTATCAGCAGTATATAAAGAGACGTCCATCAGCACAAAAATGTGAGATAGCGAATTGAGCAACTGAACCAGTGTTGTGGCGAAACATGGGAGACACGACAAGAAGAAGACAAAGAAACACACAATATGCGAAGGGCAGAAGTAGTACTGTGGTGAGAGCAAGCTGCTAGCCAATTGGTAGACATTGATCTACGCTGATTGGTAGAAATTAATCTAGGCTGATTCAACAACCGATCACAGCTGACCTAGACGTGGACAAATATGATTCGCAGACGAGTGGCTCGCATTTCCGAGAAATATCGAAAACGAGAAAGCAGAAGACTGCGTTTGTTTGCAAACAACCAATCAGAAGACCGCCTTCTTTCTGCGGGCAGAGCCTTATTAATGTACGTAAAATACATATAAATACCTGTTGGTTTTCGTAATAGAACTGATCTGTTGCCTGGTCCTTGTCTTCTGTTGTTACAGTACAACATAGGAGGTCGTTGTAAATGACGAATTTTACATAATTCCCTTATATAGAGATATCAACTTCCAAATAAACATTCGATTACTAAGTCTCTTGTCTTCTACCATTACAACTGGTATCACTGTCTTCAGACAATGAAGGATCCATGACCAGCTGCTTTCGAATAACGAGTCTCTTGTCTTCTGCCGGTATAAGTGATTACCCCGATATATTAATCAGGAAATATGTGTAGGGAACTTCAGGGATAAAATTAGAAGCAATAATGATAATAAGGAAGAAATGATCGACAAGTATGCACAAAATGAATGACAATATCAACAACAGGGAGTTTAAACGATCTATAGTGCTTGGGAACCTTACAATGAAGTCTAATACATAGGTCGAAGCAATAAAAGGAGATCAAGTAGATTAGCGGAGCACAAAATGTAAGCGGATTCTGGCTAGGCGATCCTGACCAAGATGAGGAATCTAGAAAAGAGCTCAGCTATATATAGCACCATATGCAATTGGACACTGCCACATAATAGGATAAAATGAGATGATAGTTCCGAAATCTAATATAATGGGTGAAGAGGGAGATTGATAATTGAAATATGTGCAAAACTTGCATACTGTGGTAGTATCTAATTTCACATTAATTTGTTTATTAGATGCATCACACAGTGAAACAGTATTATTCCCTAGATGGCAAAGTTTCCAACACAGTTACCCTGATTAATTATAAACTGGAATCATGTAGAAAAATGTGAAAACAAAATTAGTAATAATGGCAGTAATACTGGTAATAATAATAATAATGACATGCCTAACAAAAATGAACAGAATGATGATAACACCAACAATGGGGAATTTAAATCATCAGTAGCACTTCCTTTCATACAAAGAAGAAACCTCGGAAACCTCACTTAGAATTCTTAATGAGGCAGGGATAAAAGTGACACTCAAACTATCCACAAACTCACTTAGAAACTAACTTTGCCGGTTAAAGGATCTTGTAGAGTCAATAAAACAAGACAACTTAGTTTATCTAATACCCCGCATTGACTGTCGGGTCAAATACATAGATGAAAGTAGTAGAACGGTATGAGTCAGACTAACGGAGCACAAAATCCTAGCAAAATCTAGATTGGTTTACCCTAATAAGACAAGAAATTTGGAGAATAGTTCAGACATACCACTGACTACATGCAATAACACACAACCATACAGCATAGGATGGGATAAGATGATAGTCTTACAATCTGATATAACAGGATAAAGAGAAAAATTAGTGATTGCTTTGTTTATTGAATCAGCAATGGGAATAACTCAACACCGTTCCTGGACAGATAGAGGTGATGAAGATAACTAGCCAAAAGCAACGGGAAATATTTAAAAGAGGTTATTTCCTTCCTACATCTAGGAAGCAATATTTCAAATACAGGCGGTCAGCACCGATGAAGATGTCAAAACCAGAATGGGAAAGGCAAGGCACAACTTCATCAGTCTGAAATCATTTTGAAATTCTTCTCCACTCCGCCTCACCATAAACAAATGAATTCCGATTCTCAACACCAATGTGAAGTCAGTCAGTCACTTCTATATGGGTCAGATGCTTGGCCAGAGTTTCACGAAGAGCATTTCCAAATGGCTACTATAGACTTTTGTCAACAGCTGTCCCTGCTGACTCCATACTGAAAATTAAATGGCCAGCTGTTCAGAAAGAATCAGCAGCAAGAAACCACTGCTTAACAAATTTGTAGGAGAAAATGGAGATGGACTGGACACACGCTGAGGAGACCGTCGAATGACATCGCGTGCCAGGCTAGTGGTTGAGTGGTCCCCGATGGGAAACAATTAGTGGGTCATCCGAGGGGTGGCACACCGGAGATCGTGTGGTGAGGAGGAGATGAGAGCTTACTGGCAATCGTGCGCCCAGCTGAATAGTGGAGCAGAAAATAGAACAAAAGTGAAGGATGTGTTGCTGAAGCCCTATGTTCTGTTCAGAACCCAACGGGACATTAATAATCTCTCGGATATCTGAAAAATTCTTCTACTCTTGTGACCAAATAGGCATGGAATAAACAGAACTATAAAAATGAAGTTTCCACATTGTGTAGTTGCCACTAATAATGAACGATATATTATTTTCCTGACTTTTTTCCAACATAATTATTGTCTTCTCTCGTACACTGCTGGCCAACAATAGTTCCTTAGAATATGTTTTCCACTTCTAATGGTATATAAAGTGTGGCAACTTGAACTGTTGGATTTCTGTGCAAAGTTCTACGTTGAAAACTCCATCACAGTTAGTCAGTCTGTGATGACTTGACCAACTCATCCTCAATATGAAGCACACCAAATATATTTCAAAATTCAGAATTGTGGTGAGAGCTGTCTGCAAGACAAAATTGCAGACAACAATTTACATCCCGAATCAGGGTCATAAGAAAAAACAATAACCAAGCTTAACCTTGAAGAACTCAACAACCAATCAAAGCGGACTTAGCGTGGGTGGATACGATTCGCAGATATATCACTGGACTGTCTAAGAAACGGCAACAAAGAGATGACAGAATAACCTTCAGCAGGAAAACAGCCAATCAGAAGACGTTGCTTCTATGCTAACAATAACGAATAATAATGTACATAAAAATCTATAAATATCTGTTGATTTTCTCAATAAACGATCTGTTGCCTGACTCTTGTCTTCTGTCGTTACAGAATAACTAATTGAATACAACTGGTTTCACATATATATGTATATTTATATTTACAAATTGAAGTATATTGATTTAGTGTAGAGCACACATTTTTGGTCGCTGCTTCTATTTTTGTAAGAAAAGAACCAAAGCCAAAACAATTCTAATGTAAACGTTAAGCACAGATAATACTCTGATTATCTTTGATACGTGATTTGGTCTCTTTCGGTGCTTCAATAAAAATAAATTCATGCTTTTCAATTAGTTCAACATCCTTTTTCAACTCATCCAATTGTTTCTCTAAGTACAGTTTGTACGCTTTACCTTTAAGCGTATCATTAATTGATGCCAAGCCTAGATACTTTCGATTATATCTTTCCCAGGTGGATTTTAATCCATTCAACAATTGTTCACGTTGTGTATGCGTCAGGAGGTAATCTGAATTCTGCAACGCTTTCTCATTAAAATAATGCGCTAAATTCGCTTTTGTCTTTTCAATCAAATTTTTACGTCGTTTTAAATATCTGGGTATTTTACCAAATTCTTTTCCATAAACATAAAATAATTCTAAACCACATCGAGTCCGATGATTGGCTAAAAGATATTTATCGCCAAAACGTGTATCCACGATAGCTTTACGTGGCTCTGGTGGCAATCGACTGCCTGGTTTAGCTATTATGGTAGCAATTGCATTATGCGTTATCCAATTGATAGAACGTCTACGTGTTTTAAGACATTTTATCGGGACAGTTACTTGGGTACCATCTTCAGTCATAATAGTTTTAACTTCTACCGGTGGAATTGGCGGTTGTCGATGACATTTATCCTTCCAATGAGCTGTTTTCAATGCATCCAATGTGGTATATGGTTTTTTCGAGTGTTTTTTTAAGTAGTCATACGGTTTTTTGTTCAACTCGTTGTTGTCATCATCACCATCACCATTAATAATTGGTGGGAGACGTTCATATTTTGATGGTGGTCCCATTGTTTTAGCTGGATACTTTTTAATTTCTTCATCATAAAGTTTAGGATTTGTTTTAATTTTTGGTAGACAATAGCGTCGATTAATTACTTGTGGATTATTTTTTGATAATAAATTATAAATGTATTCACGTGGTCCTTTAGATGTTCGTGCTATGTCTAAATCGACTTCACATGGTTTATTCATTGCATTAGCCTCGTTGTAGAGCGGTCTAATTCATTAAAACACACTAATTAGTAGACTATATGTATACATATATATATAATCGATCAATAAATCAATAAAATGAAATGACTATAAGATTTTAAAACTCGCCAACATTAAAGCGGACTGATTAATTCAATGATACAAGTTGAATTATTTCACTTAATTATTGTGATAATGTGATTCGGATAGGAGTACAATAATTACTGAATTCAATGAAGTACATTCTGCTATGAAATTCACGTGTGAAGACGAATCCCAAAACAGGATTAATTGCCTTCCTCCTTACAAGAAAAACAGGGGATAGTATAAAGAGAAATTTGCATAGAAAAAGCACATGGACAATACAATGTACACATTTTCACAGCTTCGTTCCTCTCCAGTACAAGAGAAATTCAGTAAAGACCTTCCTTAGCTACAGAGTTAGAGCTATATGCTCAGAAGAAGTAATTAAAGATGAATTAAGCATTGTATATGATACCTTGACTGAAAATAGTTACCCCGACAAATTTATCAAGAAACACATGACAAAGAAAGAGGAAAAGGACTACTCACTATCCATAAACAAAAAGCCTTTATATATACAAGTGAAATTGTAGGGGGATATACCTAGCGAAATAATTACGAAGAAGTTAAGAAAATCAGTTCAAAGAACTTTTAATGCTGGCGAACTACACGTCTTATTATCTACACGACCGATGATGATTCCTTGGTTGAAAGATGAAGTACCTAGACTAGCTAGCCACTTCGAATTGTATCGACCAATTCAACTGCGCTTGTTGCGGAGCCAGTTATATTGGCCGTTGCTCTAGGAACTTGATGCTTCTTGCTCACTCAGGAACACCTACCAATTTTTTAGCAACATAAAGGTGTAGTAAAAACCATCAACAGTTCGATATTAGACCGACTGGTCCAAACCGGCCACAAAGTATGCCAGCATTGAAGAATCCTTCTCTATCATCTACCGGGTATCAAATAAATTGCCAAAAACATCGAGGTACCGAATGCTCCAAACAGCAGAGGCTATCGTGATTCGTCTGAAACAACCGATGCTTTGTGTGTGAAAGAAGCAAGTCCTGCCGTTCACTACTACTGCCCTGGTCGGCCTTCAGTGGAGACTAAAAATTCATGAATTTGTAATATTATCTTTCATAATTCTCCTGTCATTCAGCTTATTTTATTTCGATGCTAGTGAGCTGTAATCTATCAATATTATTGATTCGATGTTATTTAAACAACATTAATGTTGTTAATAATAACACTGATTCATTCATTCACTATAATGTAGATATAACTGTAGAACTTGATGTTAATGGGCATTCTTATTCAGTTAATTATGGTAATATTATGAGCACTAGATAGTCTGTTGGTGATATACATGATACTATTGGAGGCTGAATCCCTTAAATTAATGCCGAGTCCATTCCGACCTTGTTTAATTCTATCCTCATTTATATTTGAATGTACAAATTTTGCAAATGTGACATCGTTTCTTATTGAAATACTAATTAAATTCTGGGCATTTGGAGTTAAATTTTGTTGTCGTTAATGGATTGAACTGTTAGATGCACTTCTATGAATAATCCGTTTTGTTGTAGACACTTATAATATTGATCAACAAGTAACACACTCTAGAAATAATGACTGCTAGTCATGAAAGAACAGTAAAATGTTTAAAAGCAAGCACAAACTGTCTCACAAAAACGTATTGAACAGTTGTAACAACTGCTAAAAGAGAATAACAGAATATATTAATGAATAAAAATAAAATCTTAAGTTTATCTGTGATGCGTTTATTTCTTTTAATAATGTGAATTTACTTTGCTAAACATTTGGATTGTTTTCTCCAGTTTCTAATGTTCATTCTAGTCTTTTTGAACAAAGCAAGAACTACAGTCTTAGCAGATAAAATAATCGCTACCCCAATAATTTGTCGTAAAGTTGGTTGTTAAATTTGAATTGGATGTCTTTTGTGCAAAGCAGCACTAGTCGCTTCATCTCTGTTTCAGGTAGTGTTTATAAAATATTTTAAAAGCCGATTATAAAAGACTAAATAAATACTAAATCAAATATACTTAGAGATGAATAGTTCTAATTAAAACGAAAAATAGTTTTTTACAAATTATATTTATACTACTGAAATACAAGATTAAGTAGTTTGCCAACAAAAAAGACTAAGTAAGAACTACAGTTTTAGCAGAATCAAATGGTACCATCTTTTATTTCGTTGCATTCTCGTCAGCTGCTTACAGGGCAAAGACATTATTAAATGTATCTACAAAAACAATTTCAACATATTTGCACAGCGAGCTCATTTTAAACAAACATCAATCGATCAATATACGCATACACTAATAATATATACGTATATATACGCAATATTAAACACAATTCCGAACAATAATAATTATACACAATGAAAACTTTTCAGCACCTCGCATTCGGATGGAAAATATCCAATTACCAGAGCGAAGAAAGACTGATAACCGCTTCTTTCTGAACGCATAAGTCAGGCGCTTGATGGAAATGGCTTCAGCAAACTTGAGGAGAATTGAGCTCTTTTGTCTATTGATAATTTTGAACGACTTTCCGACGTCCACCTCATGACCCGTGTCGAGGAGATGTCTGGCGATGGCACTGTTTAAAGCATTTGTTCCCTTTAGACGTAAGCTTTTTGGTACATGTTCAGAAAATCGTAGATATACCCTTCTTTCTGTTCTTCCAGTGTAACTGCTCTCGCAGATACATGTAAATTTGTATGTACAGAAAGGAGTTAACATGAGAAGGATATCTATCGATTTTTGAGTGTATCAAAGAGCAGGTTGTTTGATAGACGGGAACGAGCTTAGCTGCAGGATAAGCTATGGCTAGTGATGTGCTCAGCCTTCTGTTGATCATCGCTGAAATGTTTTCACCTTTATAATCAAGCTGAACATGAACGAAAACAGTGCCGTCGCCAGGCATCTCCTTGACACGGGTCATGAGGTGAACATCGAAAAGTCGTTCAAAATTATCAATAGACAAAAGAGCTCAATTCTCCTCAACTTTGCTGAAGCCATTTCCATCAAGCGCCTGAAACCTGACTTATGCGTCCAGAAAGAAGCGGTTATCAGTTTTTCCTCACCCATCCTGGTAACTGGATATTTTTCATCCGAATGCGAGATGCTGAAAAGTTTTCATTGTGTATGATTATTATTGTTCGGAATAGTGTTTAATATTGCATATATATATATATTATTAGTGTATGCGTATATTGATCGATTGATTTTAGTTTAAAATGAACTCTGTGTAAGTATGTTAAAATTGTTTTTGTATTTTACTTATTGTACGCTATTGTTCTCCATTAATCTTTCCTGGGCTTCTTAAAAAAGACTATGTCATATTACGAAGGGTATTAAATGCTGTGAGTAGGGCTTGTGGTTTGCCACTGCGTGAGCTCGCCAATACTATAGTCGAGAGATACGTAAATTCCTGTACAAATTGGGCAAAGGCCGTTCTGTCAGACCGTCTGCACCCTCTTTATTCACAACTATCCCCTTGTATCTCATCAGGTAGAACGAGAAGTCAATATAAGAAGTTATATGCTCGTACCACTAAGTACAAAAATTCTACAATACCGTATTTAGCCCGTATTTTATGTGATGAAGACTCTGTTAGACGTGAAACATATAAGTTACTATGTAATTAGCATAGTGAATCGACCCTTTCATTGTTCATCTTTCTGTAATTCTATGGTGTCACCCTTTCTATCGTTTAATTATAACTTTGCTATTTTTATTTTAGTTGTTATTACTATTATTACTATAATTTTATACTTTATGCGTATTTTTCTCCTTATCGTATACTGTAATTGCTACATAGCTGCTATAAAAACGTTTTGTTATCATTATTATGTATTAATTATTTCGTTTATTTATTTTTTGTTGTTGTCGTTTTTGAGTAAATTAGATGCAATATTGTACTGAATGCTGAAAATTCCTTGCTGTATCATTAATACTGTTTTTGGAATAAAGCAAAAATTATTATTATTACATTTATTAATGTTTTTGCCCTGTAAGCAGCTGATGAGAAGGCAACGAACTAAAAGATGGTAACATTTTATTCTGCTAAAACTGTAGTTCTTACTTAGTCTTTTTTGTTGGCAAACTACTTTATCTCGTATTTCAGTAGTATAAATGTCATTTATAAAAACTACTTTTCATTTCAATTAGAATTATTCATTTCTGAGTATATTTGATTTAGTATTTATTTTGTCTTTTATAATCAGCTTTTAAAATCTGTTATAAACACTACCTAAAAGAGAGATGAAGCGACTAGTGCTGCTTTGCACAAAAGACATCCAATTCAAATTTAACAACCAACTTTACCGACAGATTGATGGGGTAGCGATGAGTTCACCTCTGGGAACTATTCTACCTGATATCTTCATGGGCTACCTCGAACAAACATAGCTGAGCTCTGCTATCAATGGAACAACCTACTATCGCCAATATGTTGATGACACATTTGTTTTTTGCAACGACATAGATCATGCATCGGAATTATATGAGCGCCTCAATGAGACGCATCCAAACATCAAATTCACCATGGAATATGAACATAATAATGAGTTCAATTTCCTGGATCTAAGTGTAGAAAGAACAAACTATGATGCGGTTGGAAAGTCCATCTATAGAAAAGAAACCTGGACTGGGCAATATCTTCACTATAACAGCTTTTATCCCATAAGCTATAAACGTGGATTAGTGAGGACTTTGTACGACAGAGCCAGGAAGTTATGTTCACCCAACAAGGTGAAAGAAGAATTAGGTTTCGTCGAGAAATGCCTTAGAGAAAATGGATACTCAAAGGAATTTATACAAAAGTATAGCAGAGAAAAAGATAAGAAAGAAAAACACCCAACTGTAGAAAAGAAGAAAGTGTTTATTTGTCTCCCATTCAAGGGAGATGCAGTGTCACAAAAGATTGACAAAAGACTGAAA